CCCATCCATGTGGGTGAAAGTAACCTCAATGGGGACCGCTTTCTCAGAAAGTTTAGAGGACCAAAAAGCACACATTTTTGCTAATTCATACAAAATGGCGTATTACCAGTTGGTGTTAGCTTATGGCTCCAAGAGGCTTTTTTGTAGATCTCATCCAGACACTATACCACCAAATTTCATACATATGGGTGAAAGTAACCTCTATGCAGAACCCCTTTTCAAAAATTTTGAGGGGACACTTTGGAGCCATTTTACAACTTCCATGTCTCAGACTCTTCTAAAGCACAGGCCAAGTTTCAAGAGTTTTTCGAGCATATCAAAGCTGCCAAATCTGTGATAATTCAGGGAGAATCATTCAGGGCAAGAAGAAATAATAATTTGCTCTTATATTAGGATATGACCATTGGTGCTCCGGCCATAGACGTGGCTGTTATACTTAAATTGGCTGGTAACTTTTGTTGAATGTCCACAGAGGCTGAAAGGTAGTTCAAAAAGTACCTGAATCACTTGTACGGTAAACTCCACCCACCTGACAGTCATCAGGGAAACAACAATCACAGATGAAGTACATCAGAGAGAGGCAGTCGGTGAAATCGAGGAGAGCAAAGGAGTCAGATCAGCAGAATCATAGTTAAAGGAAAGAGAAGATTTCTACAGTAGAACTATAGAGGGTGTAAATCGATGTGTTAAAAGAAGCATGCTGTTTCATCCTCCAGGAAGTGAAAAAGCGCCTCTGGTGAGACGGTTATGGCGCCGCTCTGAGGCTCTATCTAACTCTAATAAATGATAAGGTGTGACAGTGTAAAGACTCCAGCTCCTCTCCAGCTGCAGGCCGGGCTGTTGGCACGTGGCTGACAGGACTCATTAATCCAACACCAGGATTTCCCCTAATTTTAGAACACCAGGAAGTTGGAGGCGTGACCCTGCTGGTTCTCTAATCCTATTGGGTGGCTCTGCGATGACTGATTAGCGTTAGCTGGCCATCGGACCTGCGCAGCTGTTCCCAGAAGCATATGATGGTTCTGGCAGTGAGTTAAGCGGCTGCAGTCACCTTCTGCTTGCCGTGCGGTTCGGGGTGTAGTGAGAGGACACCTGAGCTAATTATCCTCAGACAGACGCACCGGGGGAAACACGAGGAGAGGCTGGCAGGGCTTAAGACTGAATCACTCATTCACGCCGCGCTTAAGCGGGAGGTAGCACGTGGAGAATAGCGTTTTAGGTAATGCCGGTAATCTGATGAGGAAGTGCACGGTTACTCACACAGGTGGAGAGTAACTTTCACCTGAAGAGGCCTTGAGGTAAATCTTACACTTTCTCTTTGATTCTCAGGAGTCAGTTGGAAAATTAACCGTCCAGCTCTTTAAAGGTCCAATCAGTGAGCTGTGTAGAGAGTGAGATGATAAAGGTATCTTACTATCTGATCATGAAGGAAACATGCTATGTTGAAGTGCTGGCTTCTCTGACAACAGTGCAGCAGCCAGTATGTCCTCCTTCTAACTTTAGATTCTGCTCCTGAATGCTCTGGATTTGTTTGGACCAGAGAAGGTAGGCGCTTTTAAGGCACACCCCCACACGGCCGTTTTGGACACCCCTCGGTTTGTCAGATATGAGAGCAGTTATCAGGTCAACAGGTGTTGCAGCGATGGAAGCGGGCAAGAGAAGTGGTTCAGATAGAAGTGATTGTACCCAACTTGGATCAAGGGTGACTCACATAAGAGTCATTAGCTGAATCATTGACCTATTATCGCCTTGAGTCGCTTCAGTTGTATTGAGATAGAATTCAAAAATAGTCTCAGATTCTTAAGACTTTTTAAGAGTAGAAATGTTGAAATGTGTGCAGCAGGAACAGACCGCAGAGCAGGAACAGTTTCCTTCTCAATAGATCAAGTTATGATTGACATCTCTGAGGGAATCAACCCTTAAACAGATCGACTGAAAGTCGTTCAAATCAACAAAAAACTCTTAAGGAGGATTTCTGCATCACATCATGTTTTTAAATTGTTTAAATCAAGAATCAGAGGCGACTGATTGTGTCGAGACGGAGGCGGTTTTCTACCCACCGGGCCAGAAGTTCAGTCATTTCCTTCGCCATCTCTTCCCTAAAAAAGTAGGATGGTTCCAGTTTTTAGAAAGTTAGTGAGCTCAACGACACAATTATATTAACGCTACAATCCACAGAGTGTGTGCACGGCGGTCCTCGGGGTTTCCCACCCAACATAACAGGAGGTCAGAACATAAATACTGAGCATGTTTTAAATGTTTACAATGTGAAAGAGATGTGCCGCACATCGTTTGAAAGCTTTACTCGTTGTGATATCGACCATGTAAACCATTTTAAGATCCAACCGACACAGCAGCCACAATCTACGCATCCGTCAGACCAACGACCAACAAATATTTAGAAATGACTCAACATTTAAAGTTGGACTTTTCAGGGCGAAATAAGCCAACAAAAACGCTCCTGCTGCATCGGCAAGAGTCCCCAAGATCCAAATCCAGAGACAGATTGAATCCAAAACACATCAAGTCCATACAGGTCCTCAGAGTGCTTCAAATCTTGCAGCTGATTTCCTGATATTTCACTGTTCCCAGCCTGTGACAGCCAATGAGAGCCTGAGTTGAACAGAGGCGTCTGACCCTGTTCTGTCGTCTCTACATCCAGAGAATTACTCGCTACTGGCTGATCACTGAGATTTTGTCATATGAATATGCCGCTTCAATCAATACCTCTGCTGGTTTGGTAACCTCCGCATCGTTAACAAAAAACAGGCTGGGAAATATTGTTAAACTTTGCCAAAAGATAGTTGGAGTTGACTTGAATGATCTCGGCCATGTTTTTCAAGTAAGAGCCACTCGAAAGGCAAGACCCTCAGCACCCCCTACACGCAGAGTTTAGACTTCTGCCAACAGGGCGGAGCTTCACTTATGTAAGGAGGTCGAAATCAAATAGATAACTGAGGTCGTTTGTTCCATCAGCTGTTAGGTTTTTAAATAAGCTGGAGGTAATGTTGCCTGGACACTTTTACTGTGGACTGTTGGTCTTTGTGTCCCTTATCTCACTCACGTCCATCATGATGGTTTCCATGGTATGTTTTATATGTATGTATTTATGTCATTGTGATGTTTTTTTTTATGGATGTGTTGCCTGTATGGACCTCTGTTGCAAACCAAATTGCCCCTCGGTGGACAATAAAGATTTTCCAGAATCCAAAAGTCTGTGATGAATCCCCTGCGTTATATCAGCTGCATGTTCACGACTAACACACTCTAACTCTAAGTGTTCTACATCTAAACATAGATATCCACCACGATAACTATGTTTGGAGAACACAGGTCTTTAACTTTGACATCTCTGCAGGGGGAAATGAAGAACACTGTTGTGATAATGAGTAAATGTAAAAGAGCCTCGTGATGGGGCTTTAAAAAAAAAAAAAAAAAGAAGCATTTTAGAGAAGAAGAGGGAGCAGCTGGTGCGTAAAAGTACCACCATGCACCACTCCAGCATCCTCAGGAGCGTGTAGCCGTGTAATGTGGCCTCTACTACCTCATGACTCATGACGTGAAGCATCAATTTCAACTTCCAGAGAGACGCTGCTGCGTGTGGGTCGTTTTGGGGTAAGTGCAAGAGAGAAGTGCGAGGGAGGATGCCGTGCCGGGGCTCAGGCCTACGATCCAACGCTCCGTCATGAACACTGAAGCTTTAATATCTCAACAGGAACCGGCTCAACCTCTCTATGCTCGGGTAAAAAAAAAACAAAAAAAAACGCCTGACGGGAATCACAGCAGACAACAGGAGGAGAGCTTCTGTATGTATCTTTATGTAAACACTGATCATGAAGCGTGGCGCGGTGTGTGGTGGAGGTGGAGGTGCGAGGAGAGGACACCTACATGGTCAAGCTCTTGAGTTTGGGGGTTCCAGCCAAGCTGTAAACAAGAGGATTATAGGATTATAACACGGGGCACCACTCAACAACAAAACAAGGAAGAGGAGGAAAAGGTGATTTAGTTTCCTCTTCATATTTGGAAGAATCTCCTTCAAAAGTCCGATCAGAGGACAAGGGCCTTGAATTTATCAAACTCGTACTTAAAGTTGGAATTTTAAAGCTTCAAAATGATCCTTTGATTGGTTTGATTCGCTGAATGATTCTTTCATTCTCATGCTGTCTCTCTCCCTGACGTCCCCGTGGTCAATCATGTCTTTAAAAAGGTACAAGCCACCCCGAGAAGGAGTGATAAAGTCGTTTAAAAGTAACTATGTTAAAAGCTTTTAATCTCTTTGGTCTTTTCAATTAAAAACATGCTGAAATCTCTGGCCTTCAGTTAGTCTTTTGCCTGCTCCCCTTTTCAGAAAATGTGTGCTCAAACAGGCCGTTTGGAGATTTTCCCTTCATGACATCACAAAGGGCAGTAGCCCCTTCCCCAGGTGGGTGACACTCCCACAGCTAGGTGTTTGTTCTGCCCTGAGTCTGCCTTCTCACTGTAAACAATAGGACATAGAGCGAGAAAGCACCGAGTACACCCGAGTCCTTCCAGAGAGGGGGCGTGGTCAGACACAGCTCATTAACATATTTAAAGGTACAGACACAGAAACAGCCTGTTATGAGCAGGGCTGAAATAGAGGGGTTTATAGGCATGATCAAATACAGGATCAGAGTGGATTTAGAACAAGAAACTTCACACACGTTTTGAGGAGCTCTGAGAATTATTTACACTGAAGAAGAGGAGGAGGATATGTGACCTTTAAAGTCTTATTATCTTTGAGCGAGTTGTTTGTAAAGGCTTTTCCCACAAATGTTGCAGTTATTCAGAGTAAATCATTTGATTGACACGTTGTTAAATCGATCATTTGTGTTAAGTTTGATAAATTCTGGCCGTAATCAGGTTACATCAGGATGACAATCACGTCGGTGCTGAAACTAAAAAAAGTGCTGATTTCTTTGGTCAAACGTGGACGATCACAGATCTTCTGTTTCTTATTTTTTGATCATAAGAAACAGAGTTAAAGGGAAAAAGGTGCCGTCCAGGACTGGAGGTTCTGTAGCATGTTAAGAGATCAGGGATGTGCTGTGATTGGCTGGAAGATTGTTACAGCATGCAGGGTTGGTTATGGTTTGAGAAAAAGGGTTAAAAGAGGCAGGTGGGTGGGTGGATGGGGGGGGTGGGGTTAAATCAAAGGGTTAAATCGCCGGGTCTTACGCTGCTCTCTCTGGGGATGATGGAACTGAGGAGCCGTTACTGAGAAAAGAAAACAAAGAAGAAGAAAAAAATGTGGTTAAACACAGGATTGAAAATGCAGATGAGGACGTGTGACGTCACATTTGTATAAAAACAGTCAGCGCTCTGTGAACTCTTCGGGAATTTTGTACAGAAGAAGACGTCCCAAAGAAAGGTCCAGAAGACTAAACTGTCAGAGTGAGAAACAGTCAGCGTGCCGGCTGACGGCTCGGGATGAATTATCGATGGTTTGTTGGGATCATAAAACATTCAGTGATGTTTAAATGTAAGGAAATCCTCACTGAACAAACAGGAAGTAAAACATCATAACAGAGACCGCTGAGTAATAACACCGACTTTGTTTCCTGTCAAAGTCATGTGGAGAAAAATGAAATGATAAATGATATTTTCTAATTAGACAGTTTTTAATCCTGATATTCCTGTCCTGGTGTGTCGGTGTGTGTGTGTGTCCCAGTGTGTGTGTGTGTGTGTGTATGTGTGTGTTACCTGCGCAGCCCCGCGTCGTTCTGCCCCTCCTCGGGTATCAGCTCGGACTCGCTCTGAGCGATCCTCAGCGCCAGCTCGCGGTCCCTCCTCTCCTGCTCCAGGACGGTCTGCCGGGACGCTTCCTCCTCCCGGTCGGCCAGCAGCTGCACCTCCATCTCCTCCTGCACACACACACACACACACACACACGAAGATTTCAGAATCCGGGATAACTTTTTCAGTATTTTTTTTACATCTATCCGAGTCGTCTGAAACACGAGGTCACATGAAGGGAGTCAAACCCGACAGCAGCAGGAGAGGAGGACACTCGTTGGTATTCAAGAACGCTAAAAAAGTCTTAATCAATGCTGCAGCATGAGCGTACACACACCTTTAACCTTTCTACAAACAGAACAGACGAGGAGAGGGGGGGGGGTTTCATCTTCTTCATCCTGATCATTAAAGAGCGGACGAGTGAAGGGCGGGGCTCACCTGGAAGATTAATGCTTCCACCTTTCTTAATGAAACAAGTTCTGGGAGTGAAACGGCTCGGTGACCGACTGAAGAAGGTCACAGAGAGATGATCAGTTCATCAGCTTGTATAGGTGATGCATAGATTGTAGCTGGTGTGGTGGTCTGACAGATGTGTAGATTGTAGCTGTGGTGGTCTAACAGATGTGTAGATTGTAGCTGCTGTGGTGGTCTGACAGATGTGTAGATTGTGTCTGCTGTGTTGGTCTGACAGATGTGTAGATTGTGTCTGCTGTGGTGGTCTAACAGATGTGTAGATTGTAGCTGCTGTGGTGGTCTAACAGATGTGTAGATTGTAGCTGTGGTGGTCTAACAGATGTGTAGATTGTAGCTGCTGTGGTGGTCTAACAGATGTGTAGATTGTAGCTGCTGTGGTGGTCTGACAGATGTGTAGATTGTAGCTGTGGTGGTCTAACAGATGTGTAGATTATAGCTGCTGTGGTGGTCTAACAGATGTGTAGATTGTAGCTGTGGTGGTCTAACAGATGTGTAGATTGTAGCTGCTGTGGTGGTCTAACAGATGTGTAGATTGTAGCTGTGGTGGTCTAACAGATGTGTAGATTGTAGCTGTGGTGGTCTAACAGATGTGTAGATTGTAGCTGCTGTGGTGGTCTAACAGATGTGTAGATTGTAGCTGCTGTGGTGGTCTGACAGATGTGTAGATTGTAGCTGCTGTGGTGGTCTGACAGATGTGTAGATTGTAGCTGTGGTGGTCTGACAGATGTTTAGATTGTAGCTGTGGTGGTCTGACAGATGTGTAGATTGTAGCTGTGGTGGTCTGACAGATGTGTAGATTGTAGCTGCTGTGGTGGTCTGACAGATGTGTAGATTGTAGCTGTGGTGGTCTGACAGATGTGTAGATTGTAGCTGCTGTGGTGGTCTGACAGATGTGTAGATTGTAGCTGCTGTGTTGGTTGGATCTTGAAATGGTTCACATGGTCTGAAACACAGGAACTTTCTTCTTATTCACGCTGTGTGATTAATTATCCACATTAACCGTAACTCTGCCTCCTCAACAACAAGAAATGCTGTAGCCCCTGGAGAATTTTACCTTTTTAGAAGTACTCCCTACTATCAACTGTGTTCTCTGTTATTTGAGGTAAATGACTCCACAGTCTTACTGTTTCACATTTTCCATTAATTGATCCAGAAATCTGACCCGTGCTGCTCTAATCGGTGGCAAACTTCTACTGCAGCTTTGTTCCTGAGCGGCGTCTGCTCTTAGGTTTTCTTTGATTCCTCTGCAGCATGAATAAATACGAGTCAGACTAATGTATTTAATGCAACATGACAGCAGCAGAGGTTGAACAGGACATGAATTCCCTCGCTTTACTCCTGGCACTATGAAGCTTTCTCTCTGAAGAACTTTCGACCATCCTTTTTCTGTTTTGTGTTTCCAACCTGTTGACTTCGACGTGTTCACAAACAGAACGCTGCATGAACTCTGCATGACTCACAAATCTCTCTGCAACCAGAGAGTGACGACAATATGTGGAATTTAATCCATCTGAAAAGAAGCAGCGCTCACAAATCACCCTGAAACGCTCCATGATGGATCAGAGATAGTTTAACTGTGATGGATCAGAGATAGTTTAACTGAGATGGATCAGAGATAGTTTAACTGTGATGGATCAGAGATAGTTTAACTGAGATGGATCAGAGATAGTTTAACTGAGATGGGTCAGAGATAGTTTAACTAAGATGGATCAGAGATAGTTTAACAGAGATGGATCAGAGATAGTTTAACTAAGATGGATCAGAGATAGTTTAACTAAGATGGATCAGCTGATTAAGCAGCAGAATGATGTCATCGTCGCTCTGAGAGAAACACAGAGGTAATAAATTATACTTCTTTTTTTTATTTTTTATTTTAAATATTTATTTTTTACTTTATTTTTTTACTTTTAATTTAATTTGCATTTGTTTTTTTATTTATTTTTTTATTTGTTTATTTTTATTATTTAGTTATTATTTTTATTATTATTTATTTTTATTTGTTTATTTATTTATTTTTATTTTTTCCATTGTTAAAATGTTTAATTACTAATTATTACTTTTCATTATTATTATTGTATTATTTGTTATGCCAATAAAGCTATTTGAATTGAATTGAATGGTATAAACTTTGGTTTTACATCGAAACACTTCAGCTCATATTGAGGATCATGAATGTTGGATAAGGAGAGGTTTTAAAGTGACTGACTGATGTCACTTCTTCTCCTTAAATCCCTCCTAAACTCTGCAGCAGGACTCGTAAATATTCAGAGAGAGGAGGAGGAACAGGACAGCCCCGGAGCTGACGGAGGGGAGGGAGAATTGTGGGTAAAAAGATCTTGAGGCTCCTGGTCCCCTCCTACCTGTAATAAAACTAAAATATTAACAAGAAGAAAACCACAACATCCTGATCATTAAAGCTGTTTCTGACTTTTAACAGAAGTGGATGTCGGCCATGTTTAACGAGATCGATCCAATGACAACAGAAATGTTTTTCATTTTCTCCCTCCCCTCCAAGCCCAGACAGATTTCCAGACACCGCTTCCACATTTATCCACAGAATAAAACATCGTAATCAATTAAAGATTTCTAATAAAATCAAACCAAGAAACTCTGGAGTCACGCTCAGTTAAAAGTCTTCACTTTGTCCTCACAGAGACACGCACGCACGCACGCACGCACGCACGCACGCACGCACGCACGCACGCACGCACGCACGCACGCACCCACGCACACACACACACACACACACACACACTCAGAGGTCCATTAGAGGGTGTGATGTGATGGAGAGAGGTAACGTGCGGCCGTGTTCTCGTCTCAGTTAGTCGTGGATTAGCGGCGAGGCGCAGAGGAGGGGTTTCAGGGGGTCGACGTCCTGCAGAGACAAACGCACGAGGACAGGAGCACGAACGCAGGGAAACCACGGCGTTTCATACTCCATGAAGAGGTCCACTTTGCTCTGACGCAGCGCTCTGTGCACAGTCCCGTACCGTGTTTCAACAGTATGAAGACAGTTCAGGAAAAAACACAAGTGGTCGGTAAAAAATTAAAAAGATGTTTTTACAAGAACAAATCAAAAGCTTAGCAACACCAAACTGCTTAAAATGTCGGCTTTATAACCAAAACTAGAGGAGTCAAAACTAGAGCAGTCAAAACTAGAGCAGTCAAAACTAGAGGAGTCCAAACTAGAGCAGTCAAAACTAGAGCAGTCAAAACTAGAGCAGTCAAAACTAGAGCAGTCAAAACTAGAGGAGTCAAAACTAGAGCAGTCAAAACTAGAGGAGTCAAAACTAGAGCAGTCAAAACTAGAGCAGTCAAAACTAGAGGAGTCAAAACTAGAGCAGTCAAAACTAGAGGAGTCAAAACTAGAGCAGTCAAAACTAGAGGAGTCAAAACTAGAGCAGTCAAAACTAGAGGAGTCAAAACTAGAGCAGTCAAAACTAGAGGAGTCAAAACTAGAGCAGTCAAAACTAGAGGAGTCAAAACTAGAGCAGTCAAAACTAGAGGAGTCAAAACTAGAGGAGTCAAAACTAGAGGAGTCAAAGAATGAGCACTCACAGCTGGATCCCTGTTCTGATCCTCTCGTCGTTCTTATTTTATTTAATCTCAGACACAACGCTAAAAACCAAAAGACTCAAACATGTGAGTGAGTTGATAATTGTTTCCTCAACCTCGGTTAAAACACGACCCTCATGTACCCGAAGGTAACCTTTTAATAATCTAGTTACAACACGGTCGCTGCTCTCGATCTGTTGCTGGGGGCGACGGCCCCCCGGGGGGAGAGCCAAAGGAACGCCACGGCAAATTCCTTTCTAAAGGTTGATTTTTTAGGTTTTTATGCCTTTCTTTAGAGACAGGAAGTAGATGCAGGAGAGAGAGAGTGGGGTAAAGGAGCCAGAGGTCGGATTTGAACCCGGGCTGACCGCCTTGTGGACGTGGGGGGCGTGCGCACTAACCACTAAGCTTGGCCCGGCTCCTCCACTTCTTGCAGGTAAAATAAAAACCGGGTATTGATGATGTCGTAGCGCAGAAACACAAACTCTGCTGCTGTGATGAATATTTGAAATGTGAGTTGTCGGCGCCGCGCTGCTCTTTATTTAGATGAAAGCGCCGCGCTTCCTGCGGGCCGTGAAGGACGGAGGCAGTAATGAATGTGCACGGAGAGAGGTGTGTGTGAGTCGAGGTGCGACTTCCAAACCCGCGGTGAGTCACAAAGTCATGACGGTTCGTGTGAGTTTCATTTCAGCGAGGAGGGAAGAGATGATTACACAACGCCGCCTGTGAGGGCAAAACGGCGCCCGAAGCCGCTCTGCAGAGGCGACGTTTCAACTGCTCGTCTTGTTACACTGCTTCATTAATATTTACCTTTTTTTAAACACCTGATGTGCTTTATTAACCTTTTCTCCATGTTGGTCTTTAGCTGCTGCTCAGTACACATGAAACCATGTTCAAACTCTTTTTAATGATCTCTCACACACACACACACACACACACACACACACACACACACACACACACACACACACACACACACACACACACACACACACACACACACACACACACACACACACACACACACACACACACACACACACACACACACACACACACACACACACACACACACTCTGTGAACTGTTTGCAGTGAATTCAACTTTAAATCACAAACAGATAAACGCGTTCACAGTCTTGATTTTCTGTGATCAATCACATTTCCACAACCTCTGAAAACAGCCGAAGAAGAAGAAGAAGACAAACATGCAGACAAACTACACACACACTCACCTGGAGCTTCCTCTCCTCCTCCTCCCTCCTCTTCCTCTCCTCCTCTTCCTGCTTCCTCTTCACCTCCATCTCTGCTTTCCTGGAGGACGAATCAAGAGAGAGAAGAAGAAAGTAGAGCAGAGACAATGAAGATGAAGAGGGCGAGAGAAGAAGAGACAAAGAGAAGAGGGAGAGAAAGAGAGAAGAAGAGACAAAGAGAAGAGGGCGAGAAAGAGAGAAGAAGAGACAAAGAGAAGAGGGCGAGAAAGAGAGAAGAAGAGACAAAGAGAAGAGGGAGAGAAAGAGAGAAGAAGAGGTTTGATTAGTGCTCACTGACGCTGAAATCTTCTTAAAAAACTAAAAGGTTAAAAGCTTTTCTTCCTCTTCCTCCTCCCTGATCTGTGTCCTGCTGCTTCCAGCTTCTAAATCCTGGAACATTTTATTCCTCCTGCTGTTGACTTCCTTGTTTTTTGTTGTGCTCTCTGCAGCCCTGACATTATGAACTCCTGACTGCATGTTTTTCTCTGGTGACCCACGAGCTAAATGTTGCTGAAGCTGAAGCTGCAAACCGCTCAGAACAGAAACATCAGTTAAATCCTTAAAGGAAGAAAAAGCCGGGAGCACCGAGAGCCGAGCGCGTTATGACTGCTGCAGCTTCACTTTTGTTTTCTTGTTGTGTCTTGACCTCCTCTCAGACTGAACACTTCCTCTCCTCCGTCTCCGAGGCTTTTAACGAGTCTCTGCCGGAGCTCTAACTCATCGTTATGAATAATGTTTGGATTAAACCTGAAGAGGGGAGTCCCATAAAGCCAGACTTCACGGGTCAGAGACTCTATAGAGGTCTCCTCATGCAGCTCAGTGTGCAGACAGCATGCTTTATGACCTTCAGTCTGCGACCTTCAGGAGGATCTCAGGAGTTCATAACTCGCCCGAGGAGGAGAGAGGGAGTCATAAAATATGCTCTGTCACCTCTAATGTCTTGTATTAGCGGGTAGTGGTTTGTGACGAACACAATGGCCCCCATCAGTCCTCCTCTAAGACTTTCTGTACCCCCCATAGGAGGAGGAGGTCAGACATGAGGGAAGAGACCTCTTAACATGTTCATGTGTGACCGATCAGAAACCTCAGAGGGGTAGGGGACACGTCAAGGAGGACTTAAAGAGTCTCTAAACCCCCAGACCCCCTTTCTAAAAACTGAGACCCTCTGTGAACGGGTAATAAGAGGAGTCATTGATCAGGTCCAAATCTCCAAGTACGAGTTTAAAGATTTAAATATTGAGTCAGAAATGTAAATACTGAAGACCCAAATTTTTGTCCAAATATTCCTCAAGTGTGTGATGTCACTACGATTACTGTAGCGCTCCGGATCGAGTCACCGACAGAGGTGTCAGAAGTATTGACATTCATTACTCAGGTAGAAGTATAGATACTGAGGGTTTAAAAAGACTTCTGTACAAGTTAAAGTATCAACTCAAGCTTTTTACTCAAAGTGTAAAAGTACTGGTTTCAAAACTACTTCAAGTATAAAAGTTAAAGTAATGTAAGGGAAAAAATGCCATTAAGGACAAAAGCATAATGACGCGATTTATCTGGATAGGTTGGTTTTTTTGTGTTTTTTTGAACGATGACAAGCCGAAATGAAACAGGAGTAACGAGGCTATTTTTAAAATGTAAGGAGTAGAAGTAAAAAGTCGGCTGAAAAATAATTACTCCAGTAAAGTATGGATACCCAAAATTTCTACATAAGTAAGGTAACAAAAGTATTTGTACTTGACACTTGACTTGACACCTCTGGTCACCGAAGCTGGAATCGTTCCAGTTCCTGCAGCGAGCAGACTTGGTAGTGTCACCCACTGGAGGGAAATCGGAACACTCGAGCTCTCGCCTCAACACAGCAGGCGTGTGTTCTCCCGGTCTGACCGAGTCGTCTAGTGTTTGCGTTCAGAGGATTATGGCGTCCTCATGGTTGCTCAGGTTTTTGTTTTTTTTAAATCGTCTGGTGTGTATCCAGCTTCAAGAAGTTCAGCTGCAACCTCGAGGTTAAGACGCTCTGTGTGTCATCATCGTGTAATCAGAGCGTCACATTTTAAAACCTTCAGGGAGTTTATCCTCTACAAAGAAGGTTTCTATAATCAGACTTGAATGAGACACTCAGACGTTGATGGTTTAAAGGTGTCCTCGCCCTTTTCATCGGACTCTCTCATCTCGCTCACACACTAACTGTTCGTTCCAACTTTTTCCTCATAACTCTGAGGCTGTGACCTTTGACCTCCTTCCTATTGTTCTCCTGTGGTGACTTGACAACGGGGGCGTGGGGGGGGGGGGGAGATTGAAGCTTATTTTTTGCTGCTGTGAATCAGCCCGCAGCGTCAGAGTCAGCTAAAAACAGAAAGTATAATAAGCGGGTTGATAAGCCCGACTTTATGGGCTTCTTATAAAAATAAATCTCATTATGTAAATCCTCCTGGTTTCCTTTAAATACCAGCGGACACACAGAGGGACCATTTCAGTCATCGCAGCATTTTTATATAAAAACTTTATTTTTAACCCGACTTTGTTAATGATTTGATCACTCACAGTTTCCGGTCGTCCTCCTCCTGCTTGCGTCGCTGCTCCTCCTCGTCCCTCCTCTTCTTCTCCCGCTCCATCTCCTCCTGGATGCGTCGCAGCCGCTCCCGCTCCTCCTCCTCCTTCTTCTTGTTCTGCATGGCGGTCAGCAGCTGCTCCGACCGCGTCACCAGCGCCTGGAACTCGTGGTCGATCTCGATGCGGCTCATCACGGTGCCCTGGACGACACAAAAAAACAGATTTGATGTTTGACTTTCTTACTTTAATACAAACAGCAGGTGTGTGGTGACTCCTCCCCCTTACTGCTTTATAACGATGAAGTATTAAAGGAGCAGTATGTAACTCTGACCCCTAGTGTTTAAAATGGGTACTGCAGTCTAAATTCTAAACATCATAGAGAGCTGCCCC